CAAAGCTCGTTTCACGTTATATGCCATAGTACAATGCATGACAATTGAATTCGCATCAAATTACACATGTCAAAAAAAAAGTCATGCAAAAAATCGATTAATATCATATACCTTTAATTGATAAATTAATGGATTTTAAATCGATTCTCATCAAAAAATAATTAAAAATATCGAAACTTATTGATTGTTCTGATTACTTTTGATTAAAATCAATTTAGTAATCATGAAGAAATCAATTATAATCCATGTGTAACATACAAAACTGGATTACAAATTCAGTCGCTTTTAATTACACGAAATTTATTAAAAGTGAGTTTTTTTTTGCACTATTTTAAATTAGTTTTAATCAAAAATAATCAGAATAATTGATGAAATTTCGATATTTTTTTTTAATAATTAAAATCGATTTATTTGTGATTTTTATAATTTTTTTTTTTTGATATAAGTGCTAAGCATTCTGTTTTTTTCTATGAGTTGTTTTATATGTTCGAATGATTGATATATAGAATTGAGTTAATAATAAATTCATGAATAAAATGACATCTAGAAAAAGATTGATTGTTTTATTCTTTTGACCTCAATCTACTCATATACCATCATTTGATCTTGAAAATCTTTTCTATTCGATGAATTTAGACAATAAATTGATTGTAACCTGCAAAAAAAATTAAATGTAAAACACTTGTAGATGGGAGACTTGATAAATCAGCACGCGTCATACTGATTTATTCTCATTTGTTCATTCAAATTAGTTACTGGTTGATGTAAATCGTTGTTTATTACCTGTCATTGCTTATCTATTTAAATCAATACATGTAGGTATATATTGTTAGATGAACTCTGATGATAAAAACTTCTTTTTAATAAGGGTTACAATTTTATTAACAAGACGAATATATCAGATGAGTATTAACAATCGACAAAAAAAAAAATTAACACTATAGAACACCATATTGCTTCAGATTTTTATAATTTCTTTATGGCAAAAAGTTTCGCATGCAATCATGATAACGATGTTATTATCGTTCTATGTAATTCATTGATAATGATTTCTTTTTATTTCTAAAATCATCTGTTTAGTTGTTGCCACATAAATACAAAAAATATGATGCACAAAGAGAGACTATTGAATTTGACGACAATGTAAAAGAATATATATATAAATATTATCTTCTTTTCGTTGATTTAGATAATAAACATAATTGCAAAATGATTTAAAATATATTCTTTGACAAAATGTTTTTAATATCGCAAAAAAAAGAAAAGAAATCAAACTATATACACAAAATAATAAATGTTTATTTTCTTATTGAAATATTCGACGTAATTCATCACGAAACATACTTGATGTAGCAAAACAAACAAAAAATGGTGTTGAACATGATAAATATACAAAACAATCAATAATAACTTCAGCTAATCGCATATGAACTGATTTTGATATTCCATGCATATATTGATCACGTATAACTTTATCATATCTTTCAACAATTTTAAATGTTTTATATGGTGCTGTACTAAATATAAATATAAATGATATACAACCAAGTGCAAATGTTAAATGTAAACGTCGACGTCTTGCACGATGACGTGTTAAAATAACTGATGTTGTTGTAGTTGTTGTTCCTAATGTCATTCTATTTGTTGTTATTATAATTGCACTTTCAGATTGATTTGGTGTTATATGTATTAATCTTGTTAATGTACTCCAACAATCTGTACGTAAACGTAAAACTTCTCTTAAAATACGCGAATTAAAATAGAGTATAAGAAAAAATGGTAAACAAGTTATAAAAACAACATCAATTAAAGATTGTCCATATGCCATATATATTGTAAAATAAACTGCTTTAATTTTAGCTGAACATCTAACACTAGTACGATTTTCATGATTTGTTGAATAATAACCATAGGATGTTGATAAAAAAGATGAATTTTTAATAAAAATACATAAAAATGCAATTGATAATAAATAATATATATAATTTCGTTTACACCAATGTGAATAATATATATGATAAACACAACAAATAAAACGATCAGTTGTTAAACCTAATTGTATATAAGCTGAAAAATCTAAAAATGAATAACGTATACATTTATATAAACGACATGTTGTTGGTGTTGAATAAATACGCATTGTTGGATTCATATAAATTTTTATTAAAACATCAATAATAAATAAATATAATAAAATTAAATCATTTAAACATAATAAACGTATACATATTGATGATGTTCGTGTTAAACGTTTTTGAAATTTAGGTCGACAAAATACAAGAAAACAAAGTGAATTACCAATTGTTGCTAATGGTAAAATAAATAATGGAAATATACTATTCGTTAATTTAATAATATATGCAAGACGTTGTTCTTCAACTGATGATGAAAGATTCATTTTTTTGTTTTTTATTTATGAACTAGTTTTTTGTTTTTTTTTTTTGGAATAAGACCATTACACTACTAATGTGAACAATAAAAATCTGCCAGTAACTTGATGTCAAATATAGTTTATCTCTACATTCATTTCCTGTTTTTTTTCTCCGACAATCAACAAAGAAAAAAAAAAGAACTCAATCATATTTATGAATTCATATTTTTTCTTTATTCTAATTAACAAGTACATTTCCGAATGAGAAAACTACTAAATCGAACAAGTCAAATATTCTTGCTAGTTATGCATACATTAAATAGAATATTTATATATATATATATATATTTATATTTTCTTGTTTTTGGACTTCTTCTTTTTCTTCTTTCTCTTTCTCTTTTTTTTTTTTAATATTATCAACATGACAAAATTTGATCGATGAGAAAAAAAAGAGACCAGACGAGATAGGTCACTATCGTTTCATCGGATGAATGCTCTTACGTAGTATTGGTAATTTATATTGAGCAGATGAAGAAAAGAAGAATATTTTCGTCACTCAATTTCGCCTTCTTTTTTTTTTTTGTTCGTTCATTTAACTAGGCGCGCTGATAGGTGAATAGTACGGCGAAGAAGAAGAAGAAGAACAAGGAGGAGCAAGAATATACTCTATACATGGTCGACGACATTTATGTTTTCATATCAACACATAAGTTAACGATGAGCCATACGCAAGATGAATATCATTTCAACGTTCATCATATGTTCGCTTATATATAAAAGTGATAAATGAGTAAACGTTGTTAAACAAGCGGTGAGCTCACTACTAACGAGGGAAGTCCTCCAATTGATTACTCATTTTTGAGTTAGAACAATATCTGTTATGTAGACTCTAATGAATTATAAATATCATCAAAGAAGTCCGTGCTGTTGGCTTATTATTACTGAGATATTGTATTTCTATGATTTTTTTCTTTAAATCACAACCGTCGTGATCTCTGTTAGGAAAACTAATTTTCGTTAATTATGAAAGTCTCAGATCTTATGAACCGTGTCTTCTTTTATAACATGAGCGATAGATAGAGACCTACATCAGAATTCTCTAAATCGCCTATCAATAAATTAGATTGACAATTACAAGTTGTTTTTTTTTTATTCAATGATGAATTACAAACTGATGTATTTTGAAGGTAAGGTTGACTCTAACTTCTTCTGCTCATGGGTATAGACCTTGAAGAGATATCAATCGAATTTCTAAAACATATTAAAGAATAAAACTTTCGATGAGGAAAAAAGTTCTTGTGGTTAAATCTGATTTATCAGTAAGATATTTAGTTAATTTCAATGCAAATGTCTAATAGTAGATTCGAATATCTTATTTCAAGATATGATTAAATCAAATGATGTAAACATTTTCTAACAAACTATTCTATTTCTCTATGAAAAATTTGAAAATCATTTTTTGAATAATTCATAACTTATTAGTATCTACATAATAAATATTATTCTTACTCAAGAATAATTATTCAATTTCGAAATTTTGCCTTGTAAGTTAATGAAAAAAAAATTTTTTCTATTAAAACTTTATTTCATACATATATTCATAGAAGTACTGTACATATATATATACATACACACATTTTTTTTGTTCAATGTCACTCATTAAATTACTACTGATCAGTTGTGATCAATCATACAAGGTGAAATTTCTCTTCGACGAATAAAGCAAGTAGAAAAAATGAAATGATTTTATTTACTCTTTATCATGAGCCTTGATCATTCTTTTTTTTTCGATATACAAATACGGTTTGTTGTTCATATAATTACCATGATTTCTTTTTTTTTCATATCATTATTATATGAACGCCTATATAACCTTCGTCATATACTCTCATATTCTTTTTCTTTTATAGATACTCAAATAGAACATCTTTTATAGTGAATTTTATATAAATGAACTATATTTTCTGATTTATAAAACAAAAAAAAAAAAAAGGAAAAAGTATAATCATGTCTCGTAAATATTCTTCATGGGCATCAAATCAACCGTCAGCAAATTCGAATATACCACTTATGAAATTAACAACAGTCGTAGGCAGTGAACAAGATCAACGTAAATATTCATTTTATATTAAAATACTTTTACTATATATATAATCATTTATATTTATTTTAGTTAAAAATCTCGAAAGAGTTGAAGCTATTCCACATATGTATATAAATGTGGATGTACCACCACCGCCAGCATCATCATCAATGGTAAGTAAATGGTTTTTTATAATGTGTATATGCGTACACACATACATGCTTTTGCTTCTAACAGACAAATATTGATACTCGAGCTATACAACCAACTATGATATCAAGACACAATTCATCTTTTTTTGCTGTAAGCTTTATTGCTTTGTTTTTCTTTTTCTTTTAATCAATTGATAATAAATTTTTTCTTTTTTTTGTTTTTTATTATTTTCATAGGCACCAACTGTTATAGCAAATACTCAAACAAAAATATGGCCTGTTGAAAAATCTTCAAAAAATTCATCATTCGAAAGTACATCATCAACATCAAAACGACCTCATAAACATAAACATCATCATCACCATCATCATGGTGATAAACGTAATCATCATCATCACCATCATCATCATCATCATAATAATCGACGACATCGAGCTAAAAGTGCTGAATCAATTCGAAATCGAACAAATCAAACATTTATTTCTACACCAAAAATGATGGTAACCAATCCACAATATATTGAACAAGACCAACAACAACAACAACAACAACAACCGATGATTGTCTATCGTGAAGTACCTAATGGTGAAGGTTATACAGTTGATAATACTAATCGTTTAGCTACTGTACCTTATGATACACGAAATGAATCAACTTTCGTCGATGATCAACAAGCACCTTTTTTTGTCTATCGTGATGCTAATTTTCAACAACAACCACAATCAATAGTAACCGATGGTACTCCTCAACAATTATTTTTTAATCATGATCAAGATGCAGTAAGTTAATAATAAATAATTTTATTATTATTATTAACTATTCTATAGAATAGTTAAACAACAAAAAATATTCATTTACAATCTATTAAAAATAAAATAAATTTTTCATCGAGTAGTATCTTTAAATGAAAATGCCATTCATAATTGACAATTATTCTCAATCTTGTTTATTAATGAATCATAAATCATCTGTTAATAGAAGAAATTGAGTGAATCTATATTGAAGATGATTGTTGTTTGTTCATTATCAACTATCAATTGTATTTCTGATTCTGTAGGATAAATAAGTTCACTACATAATACAAAAAAAGAAAAATCTTTTGCCTTTTCATCTGTATGCTTTGCATATATATATATATATCTTATTGTTTTTTCTTTTAGTTCATTCAACAAACTGAACCATCAATGTGTCTTCCACAACAACAACAACCATCACAAATAGTCTATTGTACTGACCCTAATCAACAAGATTATTTTTGCACATTAAATAATAACAATTTTATTCAACAGTCTATATCACCACCACATCAGCAACAACAACAACAACAACAACTTGTTTGTTTTGATAATTTACCAACAATACAACCAACAATAATTAATCAAATACCTGTTTTTAATCCTTTATCAACAAATACAAATTCACAATCTCTTATTAGTATACCACAATCACAACTTCAACGTACAGCAAGTGTTTTTATTCAACAACCTCAATCTCAACCTCAACCGTTACAAATTATTCAACAACAACCACAACAATTACAAGTTATTCAACAACCTCACCCAATACAAGTTATTCAACAACCACAATCATTACAACTTGTTCAAAGTTCACAACCACAAAATGGACAAATTTTACAAATTGCTTCGGCGACACCACAAATTATTCAATCTCCACCTGTTCTTCAAACTTTTCAAAGTAGATTTCTTTCTCTCTATTCATCTTTAATTAAAAAATAAAAAAAAAACTTAACATTTTTTTGTAGTACCAACTCAAACTGTCACAGGTAGTTAAATTAAATAGTTTGATTATTTTTTTTTTGTTGGTGATAGTTATATCTAGATTACTAATGAAAATCGTTTTTTTTTTCTAATTTTTGCTATTAATTTAATTGTAAGTTAATTAACTAATTATCTATAAGAATGATGAAAAAATTTGTCTTGGTTTTTTTTTCGTTTCTAGCTAGTCCACAAATTCTTTATCAACGTCCATATGATCCAGTTGTTGTACCAATTCAAAATCAACAAATGGCTGCTATTGCAAGTCCATCAGTATTAGCATTAAGTCAACCATCTTATGCACCATCACGTATTATTCCAGCTACACAAACAACAGACTTACAAGGACCAAATATGTTTCGTCATGCACTTCTACGAGTAAAATCTATAATTTTGACATGTAATATAATTCTTTCTTCATAATTTTAGACTGTTGCTGGTCGAACTGGTTTACCAATTTCAACAGCAGCATCGGGTGGTAATTGTCTTCCATTAATACAATCTACAGTCGGAGCATCTGCAACTTCAAATCCAAGGTAATTTTTAGTTTTTCTTTTTCTTTTTCTATTTTCTATTTGCGATTGTATTATATTTGTGTAATGAGATTGATACTTTACCTAATCATTCAATAAGAGATATATTATCAAAAAAACAAAAAAAAAAGAAAATATTTGATGTTTATAGTTTACTATTATATGATGGTACACAACAATCGGCATCATTGCCAATTGTACCATTGACACAAGATGGTTTACTTATTCCATTTCAGTCATCACAAACTTCAAGATTAAGATCTGGTCCATTTCCATGTACAGGTGGTTATCCATCGAATCTTCGAAATTTTGATGATATTCGACAACAAATTGAACAACAACGTGTTCAATTAACAAAGAGTTTACGAGAACAAAGTTATAATCGAATACCATCACCACCTGTGCTTTCTACAGCACCTAGAAATCAAACTATTCCATATACGTCAGGAAATCTTTTTTCTTCAGCCACTAGATCGAGTGAACCTATCATTCTGCCTACATCATCAACATCATATATTCAACCATCTTCGACAGGACTTAACTATTCTCGACCACCCTATATTGGTTCAACTCGTGGATCAATTATGTCAGGTCCATCGATTGGTCCTTATCGTCCTTTTACACCATGAATATTTCAGGAAGGTATTTGTTTCGTGCTATAATGATTAATCATCCTTGCCAAGATTGCTTTTATCTAGCAAGGCTATTTTTCATGATGAATATGCATTGTTTGGCTATCGCTTGTTACGCGTCCGATAAAAAATTTCTTGATTCAAAAAATAAATAATGATTTAATTTTCTTTTTTCAGAGGTGCCGTCAATCCATTCAATTCATCACCATGTTCAATCATGTAGAATTCTTATAAGAATAAACTATTTAAAAAAAAAAGAATGTTCGTTTTGTTTTTTATTTATATTGAATTGTGTTTTTGTTGAACTTTCATTTTTTTTTTCTTTTTGTATCAACGAACATACACGTATAGTTTCAGAAAAAAAAAAAAGAAGTTAGTATTATTAAATATTAGATTTATTCATGTAATATGTTATCATCAATGTTATGGATTTTTTTTTCAAGTAATTTGAACTATGAATTTTATATAAAACATTATCACATTTGTCAGTGATATATATATTGAAAGAAAAGATATTCAATATGAAAGAAGTTCTTATTTGTTTGTTTGTTTTTTTGTCACAATATTATTTGTGTTTTCTTTTATAATGAATATTTATTCCATTTTTCAATTAATTAATATTAATAAGATCTCTGTTTGATTATGATACATAATGATTGAATTAGTATATATTATCTTCGATATGTATTCATTTTTTTGATCTTCTCTTTATTCTTTTTGTCTTCTCTAATGTATACCTGTCGATATATATTAGAGTATATAAAAAGTAATGTCGGCGAAACAAAAAAAAAAAAAAAAAACTAAAAGCAAATAGTTTGTACTTTATTTTTAATCTCTTATTTGACCAACTTTCAACTGTCCTTAAGCAAAAAAAAAAAAAAAAAAACTTCATTATCACAAATACATCATGAATAACTCTTATTTGAATGTATTAAGTGCAGATATACATTTTAAATGTAGATACAAAAATTTTTCTAATTCATATAAAACACATATGAACAATGTCAACATTTAACCTAATTTTATTTCTTGCAATTTTTTTTTTTTTGTTAAGAGAACATGCTAATCAACTACAGATATAAACAAAACACGTGTCTTTATATATAAAAAGAAGAGAATATGAACTAATTTAACCATGACAAATTACAATCAAATAGATCTTATTGAAGTTTTGTTAATTGAAAAATAGATTCAGTGTATTAATTTTCATGCATGTCCACGCTCGATAAATGTGCTCTTTGATATTTTCAGTATGTGCAGCTATTTGTTTTTCTTTTTGCTGTTTATATCATCGCATGATACGTCTTTTACCACATCGAAATGAATAGTTACTCGAGTCTATCTTTTTCTGTGTTACATGTATCGTACACAGTAACAACGAACTAAAGAAGCAAAATTTTAATTTTTTTTCTTTTACATTCTTTTCATAGTATTATATTTCACTCTTTCTTTTTATTTTACATGAAGGATGAGAGTGTGAGTCAATAAAGGAAAATAAGGTATAAAATTTATCTGATCAGTTATCAACATGCTATATATGTTTCAGACGGTGCAAAAAGTGATATCAAAAGGTAGCATTTGAAATGTCAATAGTAAAAGACTTATTTGATTTACAAAGAAAATTATGATACAAGCCGCATGATGTCGCTACAGTTTCGTGCGATCGTTACTTCTTGATGTATCATTCGTGATTCTAAAATTTGGTCTAAGAGAACGTTCAACAAGTCAAACGAAACGTAAACTCGCGGATTACAAGCTCAACGAAAAGAAAGGATCTAACCACGATGTTCAAAGACGCTGTGTTGGTTGTTAAGAGAAAAATAGGGAACAACAATCGAGAGAAGCGTGTTATGTAACAACAAAGAGAATAAAAACTTTCTGTTCTGATTGTAACAAACTTTTTTGTCTTGATTGTTTTAACGAAAAGAATCGCTCTATGCAATGAATAATTTTTAAAAAAGCGAAGACAGAGCAGATCACACTTTATGTGTAACCTCCCGTATAAGAATAAAAGAAATGAAAGGGTTTTTCTATTAAGTTTCTTGTTAAAATATAGTGGGCTCCATCAGTGAACCCAATCAACGTGAAAGGGTTAAGGAGACCTTCCCTTTCCCAATCCAAAATTTTCATTTTTTTATGTTTAGTATATAGATCTAAATGCCTACTATCTAATAAGCACATTTTAAGAAGGTTAAACTATCTTTTTGCACAAAAAAAAGTTAAAAAGTGCAATTTTCTTTGTGATTTTTTCAAAATCAGTTTTTTAAACGACAAATTGAAGTGCTCCTCCGTTTCTCCTAGAGGGTCTAACCAATTGGGTTCAAAATTTTTTTATAAGTACTTCGATCAAATCAAGGTGCGTGTTTTTTTTTCTCTTGAAAATGTTGTATCTATCAAGTTTAGCAGATTTTTACAAAATTAGCACCATTTGAAAAAAAGCTTTTTTTCATAGTGCCTCCTTTGTTTTGTTTCATCTGAGTCTTAGAAACAATATTTTTCAAAGAAAAAAAAACACGTACTCAGATTTGTTCCTAGTTGCCACAGAAAAAATTTCAACTCTGTTTGTGGGGGAAAGGAAACTTCAGGTCATTTTTTACCCTTGACCTCTCAAGATCTGTCAGAAGGAAACATTTGGAAATTTAGAGTCTATGACAACTTTTATTCTACTCATCGAAATCTATCTACTCTGAAAGTTTCAAAAACTTTTGTCAAGCCACTCTCAAGAAACTTTGGAAAGAAGAGTGCACTTAAGCTTTTTATAAGGAATTAAAGTATTGCCGTCACTACTTTTGATATGCTCTAAGTACTGTTAGATATGTTATTCTCTTTCGAAATATTGTAATATAAATTTTAAGATTATTTATTAACTAATGTAGAATTGTTGCATTGATTCTCTCCTCCAATAGTTTATTCGACATTGAATCATTTCAAAGAAATTTTCATTGTATTACTGTTTTTTTTTTTCTTTCATTAATACATAATACATAATTCATTATTGATTTCATTAATATTTTTGTCAGCGAACAATACTTCTCTAATATTATCTGTAGGCGTGAAATATTCATTTACATAATTATGATAAAAAACTATGTCATGAATTATCTGAAATTAAGTTAGTTCTATTTTGATTAGATGATTGATATTCAAATGAATTTTATAGAAAAAATTATTCGATTCAGAATCTATATCATATTTAGTTATATTAGTTTCAAGTAATTCTTTATTGTTCTCCAAAGGATCTGTATATATATATATCATTCGCTTGTTCATTGATTAATTTTCAATGCAATCTTGTTCGGTATGAGATTTTCTGATATTTTCATGTAACTTACAATGTATATAGTCTTTTTTCTGAGAGAAGATTGAATCTTTTAATAAATTTTTGTTATAGAACGTCACATTGGCAGCAAGATTATATTTTCGAATTTCAATCTTAAAGAATTTCAGAATTTTTAGATTAAATCTCTCCGAGATATGAAGCTTCCAAAGAAAAAAACATATCTACTGCATCTATGGAAAACATCCTGTACTCTGAAATTTCTATATCTCGATGAGATTTAGTCTGAAAATTCTGTAATTCTTTATATAGGCAAAATTTCAGATCGAAATTATGTTTGTACTGCGCGAATGTGAGGATCCTACAATGAAAATTAACTAAAAACATTCAATTTTCTCAGAAATAAGTCATAGACACGAACTATTTTTTTACTAAGATCTACAACATACAACAAAGTTTCTACTGAACATCGAATTAAAATCTAAGAATGTTTATCTTGTTAGAGACTCTAAACTGAATATCCATATTGAAAATCATTTGCACAATTCTTTAATGTTATTATTTGATTCAATATTTGAAATCGTTAGATTGGAAATTTTTTTTTTTCTCAAAAGACTCCGAAGTGTAAAAAAACAATTAAACAAATGAATTCACCACTTTTTGTAGTTTAAATGCAATTTGATGAAAAAAAAAAAGGTCGAAGAAAGGTCAGAAACCAACTGATTTTCAAAATGTTGCCGTTTAAACTTAGAAAAAAACAATTTTGAAGATTCTTCATCTTCTGAAGGAATTTTTCATACAAAGAAAAAATTTAATAATAACCAAAAGAATATTTCATCTAACAAAAAAGTTCTTGTCAGCTACTCAAATCTTTAATCTGATTTGTCTGTTAAGAAAATATCTTAAAAATATAAATATTCTCATTTTTTTTTTAACCGGACTTTACTTTGATAAAACACAAATAACTAATTTATTATAAATAAACTCTTGTTCAACGAATGGAAATATCCAAAGATAATGAAGAACTAAAAACATTTTTGAATTTGACATACTTATTAGAATAAAATGATTAATGTTAAAAATATTTTATATGCGTGTACATAAAAAATACATATTTATTATTCTGATTTATCTTCTTCATATTCTATTGTCTAAAATCAATAATGATTGATCTATCGCTAAGCACTTGTCTTTTTTTTTAACCTAATATTGACATACAACTTTTATATTATTTGAAAAGAATATCTTGAACACAAGAACTGCTCACTATCGTTGTATAAAACAAAAAAAAATGAATAAATAATGTATAAATGTTAATATATAGATAACGGGTGGTGCAAAAGTTTTGCATTAATTTTGTTTTTGATATAACTCTGCGATGCATTGTCATAGAGACTTGATGTTTTTTTTTTGTTAGAAAGAGCAAAGTGTCTAGTGCAAAAATACATAAAAGAATTTGATTGGAAATGTTTTTCGAAGATCAAAAAAATCTAAGAACAAAGGACACCGAAAAACGCTTCTGCAACTTTTTTGAACTTTGAAAAAATTTCATATAATTTAGACAAGTTATCTTTTTATTCGTCTAATCCAAATTTTTGTTATTTAAGGATAGAGTACTATTGCTGTACAAAAAAGAGAAATTCTCTACATGTTGTATAACGGATGAAATGAACGCTTTTATGAGATCGTCTGCGACACCGATTTTTCATCATTGTTGATAGTCGTCGAAAAAATAAACTCTATTCCGAGAGAGAGGTTTCCAGAATCTATATATTTTATAGAAACAAGATAGCCTATTGAATTCTCTACCAAACCATATTATTTTCAATAGAACGCAGCTTCTCTGTGTGATATATTCAGACAAAAATTTGTGTTCACGTTGAAAAGCCAAATTTGTACAATGAACTTTTTTTAATCAAACTGTCTTCTGTTCATCCTCTTGTATGCTATATTAATTATTTTAATACTAAAAGAAAGGCTTCATTGTAATCAACACCTGTATATATATACGGTGTTTGAAAGCGTCGAAACTGGATAATGGAAAAGGTTAAACAAATATTTTTGAATAAACAAAATGTGACCAAAGTTGCAAAAGAATTTTCCGGCGCCTTTTGTTCTAACATTTTTTTGATCTTCGAAAAACATTTCCAATCAAATTCTTTTATGTATTTTTGCACTAGACACTTTGCTCTTTCTAACAAAAAAAACATCAAGTCTCTATGACAATGTATCGCAGAGTTATATCAAAAACAAAATTAATGCAAAACTTTTGCACCACCCGTTATATATGTTCTCAAAGATATCCCATGCTGTCTGTCATGACAATCAAGCACAAGAATTTTGTCTGATTGATTAATAATCTAACTATGAGTATCTCATAAAGTGCAGAACTACAAAAAAAAAAATCTACTACTCTTTGTAGACAATGAAAAAACTATTTGTTTTCTTATTGACATTAGAATTTTAATTCCTAAATAAAATTTACATATAGAATATACACTAGTGTGTTATTTGTAAGCAAAAAAAAAAGCAAAGATTATAATTCAAATAACATAAAATAATCTATACAAGATGTTTTACTTGTTCTGCACTATAATAATCAAAGTGAAGAAACACGCGAATATTTGTTTTTTTTTGTTTTTTTGAAGTAGAAAGAAACGAATTTTCAATAAACATTCTACGATTTAGAACTTAATTGAAATCAGATTCTATTAGAATATATAGTTTTATAATAAATTTTGTCATTTAATACTTTGTTTATTCAATATAACTTATCGAAAACTAGCGTCGTCCATTTATTTATTTAATTGGTCCAGAATAGGTGACCAATCCTAAACTACTTGCAAGGGCTTCCTTATGATTCGGTTCAGTGTTTCTTTTTTTCTTTTTCTTTAATGTCATATGTTACTTTTTTTTCTTTTCTTCTTCAATCATTCTTGTTATTTTTATTTCTAGTCATTTATTGCTTCTTTTAATTCGTATATCCTATGTTGATTTCCTGTATTGATATATCGTTTTTTTTTTTTTTTTTATGACGAGTGGATGTCCTTTGCCTTTTTCTTTTTTTGCGCGTTCTTATTATTGCACCCACTTATTTGTGGGATATTGTTAGAGCATTTGAATTATTTGCTATGTTAATACGTTTGATTGAATAGATTAAATAATTGTTTCTTATTCATTTTGATAGATTAAACATGACGAATATCTTTCGAAGTAGTACACATCATCCATCAGGACTTCAAAAAGCTATTGAAAAAGTTACTGATGGAAGTCAAGCAACTGAAGATTGGGGTTTAATTATGAAAATTTGTGATCATGTTGGAACTCATGAAGAAAGGTTGTTTTTTTTTGATCTTAATATTATTTTTTATTTGATATATTCAATAGCGCAAAAGACGCAATGAAAATCATACGAAAACGTTTACAAACAAATCCATTACAACAGGGATGGCGTAGTATTGCATTAACTCTTACTGTATATATATATATAAAATCAAATAAAACTTTGTGTGTATGTATATATTTTTTTTCTTAGTTATTAGAAGCATTAACAAAAAATTGTGGAAAAATATTTCATATACAAATTGCACATAAAGATTTTTTAAAAGAACTTAAAGGTGTTATTGGACCAAAAAATAATCCACCTTTATCAATACAAGAAAAAGTTCTTAGTATGATTCAAGTAAGAATTTTGAAATTTAAATTTATCAAACAAAAGAATTCTTCTGTTTTCAGACTTGGGCATTAGCTTTTCGTCATGATCCAGATTTAAAAAATATTGAACATTTTTATAGTGAATGTATACAACATGGTTTACAATTTCCACCACCTGAACCAGAAAATATTATTAAAACATCTTTAACACCTACAGTAAATTATATTTCAATAAAAAAAAAAAAAAACATTTTGATTTTTTTAAAATGTTTAGCGAACTATTGAACGACCTTTACAACATACACGATCTACAGTAAGATTCATTTATTTGAATTAATTTTTATTAATATTTTATTTTCTAGTCTCAACAAGGATATAATACAATCAGTGGACAAGTAATTATTTTTCATTTTGAATATTTAATTATAGAATAATTTAATTTTTATTAATAGAATCGACCAGTATCAAAAAGTTTTTCACATTCCAATACAAATAATCAAACAATGTCAGCAGAACAAGTAGCAAAATTACGTAGTGAATTAGATATTGTACAAACAAATGCACAAGTATTTGGTGAAATGCTTATAACATTACAACCGGGTGAAGAAAATCCACAAGATTTTGAACTTTTAATGGTAAGAAAATTTTCCTTTTTTATAATTTGTTTAAAGCTTTTTTAATGAGATACATAAGGTCAAGGACAATAGAAAGACAAAGAGAAAAAATGTTTGATTCAATCGAATAAAATAATTATTTTATTTGAGAATAGAAGAACAAAAAAGAAAAGAAAAGACAATACCTAGAATATTTTGAAACTTGACCAAGGTCAACAATCTTTACAAAAAAAAAAAAAATACGAAAATATTTTCATATTTATTTTATTTTGATCTACTTTACTGAGAGTACCACTTCAAGCCATTGGCAATATAGAATCAAACATTTCTTCATACACAAATTGAATATTTTCTATGTCTAATACAAAAACATTTCTATTTACTGTCGGTATAAGTAGTGAAAAAAAAATTTTTGATGTTTGTATAAAAAGTCTATTAATTTGATGAAAATAAGAAACAAATGCTTAAGCCGACGACATCTGAATCTAAGGTAGATTTCAGTCTACCTAAGATTCGTGACTTTACTGCCTATAAACAATTGAAAAAACTAAGCAAATAGTATGAAATCAAGTAAGCTTAGAAAAAGTATTCATTTCAAGAGTTTCACGCAAGAATTAACTTTTCTATTAAAATTTCATATTAAATGCTTTTGGCCAGATGGTTAGTATAATTCAAAAAAAATTTTTTTTTTGCACTGGTGCAGAAGTTATATGGTAGAAAATTCTCTATTTTGATATAATGTATACAATGAACTGTTTAAGCTAAAATAAAACTCTCTCTAGAAGAGTATTGGAAATTGTAATTGTTGTTTGACTTCATATTTTGAAGTTATGGGGTTTAGTCTCTGAGTCAGCTATTCATGGAAAACTCAATTATGAGATTTTTATTTAAAATTTCGCTCGTAAACAGATCTCATAGTCATTGGAATATGTCGAAAAAATTTCATTGCAAATGAATATATTCTTCTTGAGATATTGAGTATTCAACGAATGTTGATATGTAAACTCGACAAGTCATAAAATCACGTTGTCTTAGATATTCGATATCTCAAAAAAGAAATTGTTAGAATATTCCAATGGTTGAAATCCTACCTAAACGATCATAATTTTAGCTAGGGTTATGCACAGACTTTAACCCTTTTTAGGGTTTTTCTTAATTTTACTGAGTCCTACTTTAAGTCAAAATATAGAGTCGAACAATGTATTATAAAGTCTACTTCAAAAGTTTAATCTTATTGTCCAATTATAATATAAATATGGAAGCAATCGTCCGTATTGTTCAAAAATTTTTTCGATTTTTCTTCTCAGAAAATAAAATCACCTCTCATAAACTTCAAAACACGGTTTTTTTTTCCTCTTGAGTATCATTCCTATCGAAGCGTCTTCATCTCAACTAAAATCCTAAATCCACTGCTACCAAACAGATTATAAATATCTTTATTATTAGGAATTACATAATACATGTAAACAAATGCAAGCTCGTGTTATTGAATTACTTTCTCAAACATCTATTGATGATATAACAGGTAAAAAGACAAAATTTCATTAATCTAATTGAAATAATTCATCTTATTTAAATATTAGTCGATCTTTTACGATATAATGATGAATTTAATAATGCATTTAAAACATTTGATAATTATATGCAAGAACGTAATAGACGTTTTGGCGATTCAACACAAATGCCAATATTAAATCGAAGTACAAATCCAATTTCACAATCACCAACAAATAGAGTATATATATATATATATTTGTCTTGATTTTTTTTAAATGAAATTTATTTAGATATTATCATCATCACATGACGCTGATAATGTACCATCATTAATGAGATTTGATGATGAACCAATAAATAATTTTCAAAACATGCGTTTGTATTCTTTTTTTTGGTTTAATTTCATTAGTTCTTCTGTGGTTTTTTGTTTTTTGAAGGTATTGATCCAACATCATCTAATGTAGTATCAAGAAATACTCAACAACAATCAACGTAAGTTATTGAATAGAAATTTTTTTTTCTTTGTAATTATATTTTGACTTTTTCGTCTTAAAGAAAAAACTATGAATATTAAATTTACTCTTTATTGATAATCTCTTATTTAATATTGAATTTTTCTTTATTTCTAATTCATATTTTGATTTTTCTTAGAGCTTCAGCAACAACTCAATATGCTACAAATTATCAAGTAAGAAAAATTAGATTTTCTTTTTTCTAAAACTACAGAAAACTTAAGTCCAAATATTGAATAATAAGGATTGTTAAACTAATAAGAACCTATTGATTATCAATTTCATCATTTTTAATAGTTAAAGTAATGCAAATTTTTTTTTTT